AATCTCAGCTTGTCACTAATCATGATAACTGAGATTTGTTCAGAACCTCGTTTTAAAGTGACTTGGTTTTTATTGGGTTGCTATCTTAGGCATGGTATATATGCCATAGAAGTCATTTGTTCAACGGGCATCCTGCTTTCGAACAAGTTGATCAGCAATGTTTATTTGAGTTTTCAAAGAATACATAAATAGTGGAAACCGAAACCAGTATTCTGGAAAAAATAATGATTGTTTACCAGCATAGGTTTCGAATGGCTAGTGAGAATGCGGTTTACCAGGACGAACGTAAACCACAAATATGGTAAGCGATTATCAGTATGGGCTTGGGTTCTATTGGAATCAGAGACCGAGATCAACGGTCCTGGGTTTGATTTTTTGTTGCCGGGTCGTGAATAAACATTGCTGAAGAGTCCCATACTAGGATAGGACACTCGTCCAGTGCTTTCGGGTTTTCAGTGGTGGTTTAACTTATATCGGTTCGTGATTTCAATGAGTAAGCAATCATTAACTAGTGCACAAATTTATTTTACTTAAAGCTCCAACATGTGCTCATCTGTTTGCATTCATTTTTTCAGATAGTCAAGTAGTCAGTTACGATGGCATTAGTACGTTTGAAATGTCTGAGCTATTTATTTATTGATAAATTGTGGGTGTTTTCATGTCATTAATGAAGTACCCAACATAGATATGTTGCCAAATGCCCTGGTAAGGTCGAGGGTGGGGAGAGTCAGATCTCTGTCTCTCGAAATGCTCTTACATGGCCACGCGTAAACAGACACTGCCAGAAAAGTCCTACTCACTACCTTCTCGTGGCAGTCTATCGTTTACAAAATTCAAAGGATGAAAAGTGAATGTCCGGAGCTTTAACCGGGTTGGTGGTGGGTATTGAGGATCCGCCTAGGGGAGTTGGAAAACCCTGATTCCAAACCAGTGGTACACATGGGCTTCAGGATCCTGAGGGAACAAATGGCGTATGGACCTGTCGTTGGTCACTGACTATCATGGGACTTCATCTCCTGACGTTTTTCCACTACCTTGTGGATCAGATCTTTAGGTCGAAGGCTCCGGGTGTGGCCTCCTAAGGAAACCACCTGCTTCGGTCTGGGCAGTATCACAGCCCACACACAAATCAAGTGACTTGTGTGGCGCGTATGTATTCGGTGCCCCTTTGCGCCAATATTATTGTTGAAATAAATAAACTATTTTCGAACTGAATATATGTGGAGTACGGGACATTTACGATAATCATGGCAGTGCTGGTAGGTCATTAGCTTTTTGATAGTAAAATGTATACAACAAATTACAGTAACTAAACAGAAAACTAGACTAATTATCATATTATTATAATTATGTGTGTATCTACAGACTAAGAACATACGTTTAAAGTCTAATATAAACAGTAATTTTAACGAGAGATTACATCAAATGTTAAGCGTTTGATAATAGTCACTTATGAGAATTTAAATTTACAGTGCATAAGGAAGATACTTTAAACAAATATATTTTGGTTAAACCAAGATTAAGACTATATCTCTAAACTGAAACTACTCTCAATATCAGATAAAAACAGGATATTAAGGATGTTTTAGTTATAATCTAAGTTGGTCGTCATCCCGATGTACAAGCCAATGATTCGAGTAGATTAAGCTGATGCTTGACAACGTTGAAAGATGTGTTCACTCACCCTGATTATCACTAAAAAAGAATAAAAATACAGCCTCCTAAGGTAAGTTTCATGAGTGACTGAGCGTTTATTTAGAATTGTATTCAGAAAGTAATAATTATAAAATCCTGTTCGTGCAGTATCGCTCTATGTGAAGATAGGCCTCTATAGTCCTTCATCATACTTCATGAAAAGCATTACTTTAGGTGGTACACTAAATTCTCAGGTCCTACCAGGAATAATCTTAAATTTTAGGTGGAACCTAATCAAAATTAGGATCATAATTAAATTAAACCAACAAGATTAAAGTTTACAACTAGCTGGAATTTGATTTCAGATTTAAATCTAACTTTGTTGAAGCCAAATATTATTCATGTACAACTCGATGACGCACGAAAGTCGAACTAAAAATGATTCTTTCACAACAGCTGAAAATACTCACATTAAGCGTTGCTTCAGTCGGTTTGCAAAATCTAGCAAATTACTAGTTAACATTTCGACACTAACTCAAATAACTGATGTTCCAGTCACAAAGTTACATGGACGAAATGTCCAGTAATTCTTTAGAAGACATTGCTGATGAAGAAGTAAACTGATAATACACCACAAATAATGTCATGAAGAGGATATTACGTGTAAGTCCACTGAAGAATCATAAATTCGATGTTCCATTAAAATTTATACATAACAGGTTCTATCATATAAATTTATTACTTACTACATACAAGAAGCGGTGTCAGACTGGTTTGCTAGTATGCACGTTCAACACAGACTAAAAGCAGATTTATAGTTTGAACTACTAATTCTAAACCTTTATGGAGTACGAATAAGAAAGCGATTATCAGATTTTAAGAAACTTCATGTTGACCCACTTGCATCGATATAAACTCATAGGACTAACAAATTGGCCGCAACTGATACAAGTACACTGTTACATTGATTAATTTATTTTAACATACAAATATTAGTACAAAGGAGCACCATATACATATGCACCACGCAAGTCACTTGATTTGTGTGTGGGCTGTGATACTGCCCAGACCGAAGCAGGTGGTTTCCTTAGGAGGCCACACCCGGAGCCTTCGACCTAAAGGTCTGACCCACACTCGCTTTTCGTTTTTTGAATTTCGTAGACAACTCCCCGCCGCGAGAAGGTAGTGAGTAGGACTTTTCTGGCAGTGTCTGTATACGCGTGGCCATGTGAGAGCATTTCGAGAGAGACAGATCTGACTCCCCACCCTCGACCGTATCAGGGAATTAAAATGGATATTAATTCAGCAATTAGAAAATTGCGTGAAAACGAACGTACTTTTACGTCGGAAATTTCAAGTACTTAAATATTATTTGTAGAACTATAATTGATATAATGATAGATCATATTATTCGTCAAACCCCAACAGACTTTGTTTATGTGAGTCAATGATCAACTAGAATCTCAAGTAGGAAACAAGATATTATGTAAAAGTACTCTGCTATATTATCTGTTCAAAAATATTGACAGGAGATTAATCCAAAGCATATCCTGAAATTCATTATAAGTTATTAGTTAGCAATGAATCATTCGTAACATCTTTTCCTGCAACACAAATATCTTCATATAGTGTACATATGAAAATTCCTACTATTTCAAATGAGTAATAAAAACATTTTCATAACTTGAACAGTTTTTAGAAATCTATTTCCTATAAGATCAAACCTTTAACGAAAGCTAAGTATTAATGAGTTATGAATCACTCTTTATTTTACCATTTTAATTAAATATAGAACCATATACCTATTTATGTCTTTACACTAACCTATGCTGAACTTCCGTTGAGCACCGCTTACACAAAACACCAAAAAGGACGATATACATTACATAATGCTGCTGACTAGTAAGAAATAGAAAACTGGTATCACAGTAGTTAGTTTTTAAAATAGTCAAATTGATGTGCTGAATATTAGTGATATTTGTGTAAGACCTTTTTAGCTCTGTTGACACTTTGTCATCATACGCAAATGTGTTGAAAAGTGCGAAATATAACATTTGACTAAGTTTTCAATTATTAGTACGTTGATTTTCCCAGTATATCTTCGGTAGAATTAGACTACACTGACGGGCTTATAATAAATCAAATAAAAACGAAGATAACGGTTGTTGATTTTATATGCGATTAATAAAACGGAATTGTGGATAGCCTGTTACACGTCAAAATGTTTTAAGGTCTTGCATTTTGGCTAATTCGGTTGGTGATATGATTGAAGGTCACCTACAGAATTCTGGATCATTGAGAAAAAACATCCTATATAGCTGTGGTCACAAAATGATACAGGGAGGAGAAGTTAGAGTCCAGAATGGTGGGGGCCAATTTTTAGAGGTATTAAATTTACAAGTATTAGGTTTAGGACAATAGAGTTAGGATGTTAGCATTCAAAAATCACTTTTTTACAATTTTACTATTTTTACATATTATGCAACTCATTTACAAAAGCTGCATCCTGACTGAACAATATTATGTCGGTTGATCCCAAGGTCTTTTCTAGAACTGATGGAGGCCGTCAGTATAGTATAGTTTTACCGAATCTTCGAATTCCCAACATTTAGTTACCCGTATTGAGTAATTAAAAACCTATATAATTAAAATTTATAATTTTTAACTCTATTTTGGTCAGGATAACTTGTTCAATGAGCGAGCATGTTCAGTCAACCTTATATAACCTGACAATCTATTTGTATCAGGTTAGTTTAGTGTTCAGATTAATACTTTATATCTCAATGTTTTGCTTCTAATGTGTGACTTGAATGTGTCAGACATATATACATACCATGAATACCTACTGACAAAGAGGAATACGTCAAACATTATTTAAGAACACATAATTCAACATCACTTAGAAACCATTGTAATCTCCCAGTAGCATTAAAACAAAACACAATAAACATCTAAGCAACCTAATATAACATTTACAATAGATTTATTCATAGAGAAAACAGAGAGAGATCAAATAATAATACATATATTTGACAAAAAAGAGGCAAACAATAACACGATAGAACTGAAAACGCAACAGAAAAAGAAAGAGAGGACCAAATAAGTGATAGACTATAATTAACTAGGTATATAATAATGAATTAGAATACACAAAAATTAATGAACAATATTTGATGAGACCAGTAGGATACAAAAAGACAGAAAACAAAACCTGAATACTACAATTACATTTGTTTGTTTTTTGATGAAATAATGGTTTTATGAATATCCTGTATATGATGCCGTGCTGACTGATGATTATGATGGCATGTTCAATTTTGTGCAGTGATGATAATGATGATGATGATGATGATCAATTGAGATATATAGGATCGATAATATAATGATCTCTAAGTAAAGTAAATTAATTACGAAGGTGATTACTTTGGTTGTGGAGATATTCTTAAAAAAATATGACCAAGCTAAGAGTGTTATATTTGCATGAGTAAACATAAACAGATGAAGTTAAAATTTCATTTCAATAAAGAGATAAATAACGTCTAATTACAAACAAGCAAACTTTAAGTCGATATTTATATATGTCACTACGTGTTGGGAATTGATATTGTTAAGAAATTCCTTTGATGATAAAATAAATTATTGTTTTGTAGATAGAAGTGAAGGATTGTTAATAGTGCTATATGTGCTTCACTTTTATATTGTTGGTTATTTCCTCCTGTATTTGATAACTAACCTATTGTTATGCTATTTCAATTGAATATTTTGTGTACCTAGTCAGTTGGTTTTTCGAAATCTATTTGGTTGAGAGTTGGGACTCGGTTTATGGTCAAACTAATTTAATTCCAGTTACTAATATTCATTTCGACTAATTGTCCGGTCATAATACAATATTTTTTACTACTTCTCCTTGGTTCATAGCAGAGATGAGTCGAAAATAAGATTTAAAAAGAAACTAAAGTGACGGTGGGAGAAATGAAGCAAACAATTAAATGGACTACAGATTGAGTATTAATAATTCTAGATATTATGTCAAGTTTATACTACTTAGTAAAACAGAATGTAATGTGATATATAGTACAAGATATTCACAATTTCAATGGGGTTGAAGAATCTTAACTAATCAGATCATATTATTATAAATGTCATGTTTCAATTATATATGGAGTTTCAAGTTTATTTAGTATTACTTACTGGTTAAACGTAAGTAAATTAGTGCAAATTCAAGTCAGAACAATAGAACTTACTAAAATTATTCAGTATGATTTCGTCCATTTTCCTCATTACTCTTGTCACTTCCAACATGAATAGGTTCAGCAGATAAATTAGGACTCGCAAATGCCAGCTTAATAGTATATGGATATGTACATTCTTCATCTTTAATAGGTTGATGATTACATAAAGCCAAAGCTTCACATGCTTCAGCATCTGTAGTCCATTTCATAAAACCAGATGAGGATTTATCCGAGGCTTTTGAAAACTGTTCAATACATCTGAAATACAAATTGTTAGGAACTTAGGGTTTCTGATTACGTAATGAGTATACGAACAATAATAACTAACCGATAAACAATAATGCCGTTACTAGGTAAGGAATTAATCAACGGGTTTAAGGCGAATGACACGGTAATACTTAAAGAAAAAGACGTATAGACCAAACAAACCAACGGTATGTTTACAATCTAAGGATCAATTAAACGACATTATTTAGAAGAGAGTGAACGACATGATCAAAGGAGAACAAATAAAACCTGAAACTTGGAAACCTCTGATGACACGAAGGAACATCACTTGTAATTTAAATATCAACAAGTACTTTAGTGGTAATTTCTGGTAACACGGCATCTCCTTTTAATTACTCTGTTAAGTAATATGTCCCGGCACAAGACTTTCAAATTGTGAAATTTAACTCTATCCTTTATGTCACTATGCAGTATTGTGTCTCCACTGAGGACTCAGTGGATATTGAATAGTCAGTTTTAAAATATCAGGATTGTCGAATTCAAGTTCGTTCCTATGAAGTTACCGAAATGGAATTTCTGGCATGTATATTAAAACAGAAATGTCAACAATTATAACTGCACTTGATGAAACTACAGTTAAACTTTAATTACACATTTACACAAAATATAATAAAGTCGTAGTGAGTACTCAGGAGATCATTAGTGGTAACAAGTACAATCGAAGGGCAAGATTAAACAAGCTTGCAACTGATTCAGACCGTAGTTGCTACCCCGACATGGTGTTCAAGTTTGCTTATCATGATAACCGGATTGAGTTTTTTAACTGGAATACTTGCTCCTTTATGTTTTAACGTACCAAGCAAGTCAGTTGGACAGTGGTAAGACTAAAAGATCCGAGGATATAGCCTTGGTGATCCATACTTTACTGAGGTATGACGGCAGTAAAATGTTTCCCACAGATAACCAGCATCGCCAACAATGTCTCCTTTGGTCACGACCTCAGGTCAACGAGTCTATTATTAACTCACCTAGCTTTTCAGGTTTATAAAGAATTCTTCTACAGATTCAGTGAAAACCCCCTACTCTTGACATTACATACCTTAATAACTTGTATCAGGCAAATTTATTTTAAAATCCAAATTATTGATATGATATGAACAATCTGTTTACTAACTGCTCAAAATAATACGTTTTAAAGTTCGGTTGTTTATCCCTAAAACGTGACGAGATGTGGTAAAACAACACATGATCTTACGATATGAAATATGTAGTATTAATGATCTAAAGAAGTTATAGTCATAGAGCAGAAATAAGCTGATGATAAAAGGTAGAATTCATTTAACCTGTTGTACTTAGATACTGCGCCTGAACACAGAGATACATAATAGACCAATGAAAAAATGAATTGGATACGAAAACGAGATGGAAGGAAGTTAAAAGCATGGAACAAAGAGATGTTCACGAATAGAGGGACGTTAGAAAGCATCCTATTGCATTACATATATATGTATGAGTTATTTCATTCAAGATCTTTAACGATCAATTTTCTTACTGTTTTATGGGTTACACACAGATAATCGATACTAACAATGCAACAACTTGCATTTAGAGAGGGAGAAACGCATCTCGAACATTCTGGCATTGTCGCTCAGTGTTACCTAAAGACTGAATTTATTCAGCGTCTTTACCAAACAGGACTATGTCATCTGCGTATTTTAAGTCGACAAGTGGACCTCCTGGTAGATCAATACCCGAGAATTCAGTCGACGAGAGTGTTATTTCCATCAATAGGTCTATGATGAAGTTAAACAAAAATGGAGAAAGTGGACAGCCTTGACGGACACCACTTGAAGTTGTAAAATCAGATGACAGTTCGCCATAAGCTCTGACTCGACTGGTAGTGTTCGAGTAAAGAGCCTTCACAAGGTTTATGTACTTCTGAGGCACATCTATCAATGACAGACACTGTCAATTAACAATGTAATGAACTGACAAGTATTTCCAACTTAAAGTCTTACATCTGACCTTATTATAGCTATCTTTTTACAGAATAGACAAGCAGTACCTTTAACCAATTAGCGACCGAAGTGTATAGTTTCTACCTTTAATTGTCACGGTTGAATTTATAAGACAATGGACATACGAGCCACTCAGACAACTATATATAACATGTCAAACAATTATTCTCTATATTTAAGTTTATTTTAAACACTTTTAAAACTCATCAAGGAAATCATAAAGCATATTCTAATAAAAAACTATGTGCAGGTTTAGACACTAGACTGTGGCCCACAGATATTGCATCAAGACCGATGATACCCATAGGATAGAATAGAAGTCTGAGAAAATATGTGCATTAATATCTCAAATTAAAACATGAAGTGTCAGGAAAGGATGTAAAACAGTATGAATTACAAAAAGTGCTGAGAATAAGAACAGCTTTATTTTTATTGAGATGGACTATGAGAAAGTCGTTTAAAAAATCACCATTCATTTCATTTTACCAAATCCTAAGCAATATCACTCAAAGCAAGTAAAATCCAGAGTGCTCATTAATAGTTCACGATAATTTCCAAAACACCTCGGTAAGGTAAAGTATTTAAACGGTTTTTAACGACCTCGTGATCAGGTATTCTATAAAAATCGGTCTAAATAATTTGTGGATTTACTGCAATATTTGTGTACACCAAAACAAAATATGAAAACGTACTGAGGTTCAGGGGCTTCACATTTTCTCACAAACTCTAATAACTCGTTATTCGAAATTTTAGGAGGAGCATTCCAGTAGTGCAGTGTACGTGAAGGTGGATGAATACGGTTCTTTTTAGCCATGATTGCTGTAGTATACCTGTTATTACGATCTTTGCTGTAATCTTTAAAAGAAGGAGAACCATCGGGCAACTGGAATGGACTAGAAACATCCAAAATGACATCTTGCTTACTAGTTCGTACCTGGAAATCAAAAGAAATCAGGTGAATAGATGAAGAAATCAAATAATGGGAACTTAAGCCCACTAAGATAAATAAACCATAACATAAACACTAAATTAATATTGGAACAATTAGCAATTGACAGCCAACAGTGGACTATACCAATACAGTCCTTAACTAATGGAATTAGAATCAATGGAATGAACTTTAGTTCTGCATGGTCCAATACCATTTTCAAAAAGGATTACATATGTCTACCTTCGGTGTATGTTATTTAGGAAGTACTGAAGTGTGTTAACTATTTTATAGCTTGAGAAAATAAAAACACAGTTCAAAATGATGCTAAAAAGATAGCTACTTGTCAATGGTAAGTCATATAGAAATGAAATGTGGTTATCATATGTACTGAAGTCAGTAGTATTCAATTACTACTGCTCTTAGAAAACTGCCTGCATGTAACAAGATTATTAAAGCAGTTTTAAAACATGTTGAATTGAATGTCACATGCTTCATAATTAATTGAAAACAAGAGACTGAAACAATTTAGTACGTAATGGTGTTCAATTATTTTTGAAGCTAGTTCAAGAGTAAATGTTATGATGAAACCTACGTTTCTGGATAGAAAACGTAGTATCAAACCAAGAACACAAATTCTAAATGAGTGATCACAGCAAAGTTGATTTAACAATGTTGGCTAGTGAAGAGAGAAAATTCGTAGATTCTTTTATATTATTGTCATCGATAGAAGTGTTCTATTTGCTCTCAGCAATTTTTAACATGGCACATTCATAGACAGAATGAATATGGAGGTTAACATGAAGTTCGGATCAATGCTTTTTGAATTTACTAGAAGTGTATATTGAAGAAAATTCACCAGACGGAAACGAAATTAAGACGAATCAAGGAGAAAGAGGTAAGCGAACAGGGAATAAACAAACATACAACAATTAAATATTTATTGTTCTGAGGGAAGCTTGTTAAGATATTTGTACTGATTTTATTGACTTCAAATAAGAATATTTAGCTTCCAAATACTCATTTCCACTACCTTGTAGATCGCAAACTGACGAAACATCTACATTTTTAGGGGACATATTCATTAAGTCACCATTTGATTACCACTTTAAGGGAGTTGTGTAACCGTATAAAACTCTGATACGAGAATACATAGAGAAAAAATTGCGATGGTTTTGATTATTGGGACTGTACAAAGTCTACTACACAACTCACGCAAAGATAATAGCCATGTCATTAGGTGAGAACCTTTACTGAAACAACTAACACCAATGAGGTTAGACTTTTAGGCTGTTTGGGAAAGGGTGTCTCTTTATGTGTTTCTCATGAAAATGAAACGATTTCTCACATATGTCAGCAATAATGCTGATATGAACTTTTTGCTTTCGACAAATATGCATTTTTCGTGCATCCTTTTATTTGAACGATACATAGATAAAAACAAAATATGAACTTCTGTCTGTAGTATGAACTTAAACCTGAATGCCAGTTTTACGGGTCGATAAGCATACATACATTTGAGTAACTGATACACTACGTTGCTACAAAGCTAGACAAGAAAATGAAAAGTTAAAAGAACACAGCATATAGAAAACAATGTGGACGAAAAAGTTCCGAAATGGAAATAAGTCGGGAAATCATAATACAAAGACATAAAACATACAACGTAAACAAGAAATCAGTCTCAGATAAGACATTACTCACCATTAACTGGTTACCCATAAACGAAACACCTGACAAATTTCGTATAAGGCGGGTAGCTGATTCAACATCGCCCATTTCAACCATAGCTGAACCTTCTTTAGTACGGAGAAATTTAACGCGGATGACGTTGCCATATATACACAAAATATTGAATATGCTAAATAAGGAAGCGGAATGAGTGTTATGAATTACATGAAAATCACAAGAAACTGGATGTTAATTAGTTAAACAGATATTTGAGATTCAACATATCAGACCTCAGTTACATTATTATTTAGTTTTTACAAGTTTACACTTCCTCTGAACTTCACTCGACAGATTCAAATTGATGGCAGTTATAAACAAGGGTTAAGTGATTTGCAGATTACATAATTTGAACTGATAAATTCAATGTGTGAAGTAAGAAAAGAAAAAACAAAACCAAGCATTTTTATTTGGTTCGGATATGCACATTGTACGGCTAGAGTTAATAAAAGCAATTGTTTGAAAACAAGTCACTTTAATATAAACCACACTGAGCAATAGACAACGTGGTATTTGATACAAATGAGTAAAGATTCAATTTCCCACACCCTATATCATAAGTCAGATGAAATATTGAGATAAAAGTGCATAGGAAGAAATAATAACATCAGTTTTCGTAAAAATGTAAACATAAGAAATAGAATTTTAAAGAAACTAATGAAACAGACCACGGGAGGAAATTAGTTAAAGATGTTTGTGATTGATTTTTATACTCTAGAAGAACTCATTTGTCAGCTTGTCAAATAAAACTAGACCTCTGAAGGGTAGTTATCAAGTCACACCTTGGCAGTGTAATTAAGTTAGGCCTTGCTAAAAACATTCTTGGAATTCGAATTTTCTGTCTACATCTTGGAATAAATGCATTGTTTGAGCGTAAAGATATGGTGGAAGAGTGATTATCTTCCATTTATCATACTGGATATCGACTGATTATTTATCGTTGGAAATAAGAAATCCAGAGGAAGCAAACAACGAAAATATCACTTGATATTTACGTTTTTACTGGATTAGTTGTACTGCATTTTTGAGTGACAGCTAGAAACACCAGTGAAGACAATTAAATCTGAATTTCAGCCAGATCTATGTCGGAATAATTTTCAGATGCAGTTACCTTTAAAAGTTTGAAGTGATACCAATCTACAGTTTAGTCCCATTTGTGGATATTCCCAAGATAACATACTATTAGAAACAACATCGGATGTACGGTTGTGCTAGTGGGTTACTTGATAAAAATCTAGTAAAGCCATACACTAAAATAACAGCATTCAACCGTTTTAATGATCGAAATTGAACGACTTGCCATTAGCCAATAGTGGCTAATAATTAAATTAAATGAACTCGTTCACCAGGTACCTGGGTATGAGGCCCACTCTGAGTGTGAGGAGCAATGATACTACCCGGTTGCTCGAACCGAAGTAGAGCGAGGTTTGAAGCTAGAACGTAGGGACAGAAGAACGAATGCCTTAACCACTAAGCTACCGCTTTGCTTTATCTGGATAATAGATTATCTTTTAATTACAATCGTGTGATAAAAGCCGTATGGATTTATAAAATTATGGAAAAATAAACTAACCGATCGCAGTTCATTTTCTTCATATCAATATTGTACAGCATAACCACTGGCGTGGAGTTGAAACTTTTATTCCTATTTTGAGCACCATTTAGTGTGGGAAAATTATGAGGTCCCACAGGTGTGTTATTACATTCTGGGGGGTATGAGCGTCCGTATTCGTTCGAATTTTCGTATGGATACTGCCCATAAGGATGTTCGTAATCATAATAACCCTCATCCATATAACCTGAAGAATGAAAATAATGTTGCTAAGATACTTACCGAGAAGCGAGTTTTGGTAGTGATCATCTTGAAAATTACAGGATGGGTCACGTTCACATTTCTCGAAGTCCCAGTTATCCTGATCATTCCTGGGCACAGATAATCGAGCAGGACGAGCATAGTCTACCTTTAAAGTACAGCATCCTGGGAAAATATCTGCACCATTCAAGTGGAGCTTTGCGTTGCGCGCTTCTTGTATACTTCTAAACTCCACCATTGCCTGAAACACATGTCGGTTTTTATTTTGTCACTAACCTGAACCTGAGATTTCCGGAAGATAACTATTCGAAGGACACTACCGTACGAAAACGTTATTCGATAAATTGTTTCAACAGTTATAGGACGATCAGTATCGTAAATTGTAAACAGAAGGATATGATTATCTGCTGAGAGCGAACTTTGTTCATCGGCAGGAGCTCTATTTGCAGCCCGCTGAACTATATGTTTTGATGTGCTGAAACTGATTTGAACCAGGCTATTCAGAATTTTCATTTCAGGATTTCTAAACATTAGGAATAAGAGTAAGTACATGATTATCAGGATTTTGTTTCTCTATAGACTTGGGATTTGGTTGTAAACGAGAACTAAATCTTAAATGCAATTTGAAAGTATAAACCAGTCTAATTACTTGTGTGAGTTGCACAATGAAGTTTTCAGAGCACACTAATATTTGCTTGCCTATGGCGAATTACTTAACTCACTACAATATCTTTCTGGATTAAACTGATGTCGCTTTTGCTTTTGTATGACGTGTAAAGAAAATAAATGTCACTAAGTCTGGTTGATTTTTGCCATTATGTGAACTGCGATACTAAACATCATGTGAACAAACTTATAACAAGGTATGTTCGACGTAAAAGCTGAAATTTAGGTTCTTAAGATAGCTAAACTGAATACTTAGCGATAAGAAACAATTGTAAGGATAATTATCGCTTTGAAATTTAACCCAATTAGGATAACGATATGAACTGTTTTGGTAAACTTGATGACTTGAATTTGGGTAATCAACGTACTAGTACATATTAGAAACCAAGTTATTTTAGGCACGATGTTCACCCACTTCAAGGGTCTATTCCACTGTGCCCAATTACTGAATCACTTGAAAACGTAGTCAGTAGAATGCATTTGATGAATTGGCCACTTTCAATCAGTCAGTTTACCATACAAGCGTAAAACAATAAGAGATATTTACGGGTCTTTGTTAGTAACATCTCAAGTTGAGACAGCCAAAGAAATTAACAATGACTAGAGAAAGGAACAGGAAATATATAAAATAATGCGAACTTGAGAGCAAAATACTTGATTTATTATCACATCGAAGGGCTAGTGTTTGAGTGAGACTTAACGTTTTTGCTTTACGAGTCCACATTATGTAGAGTACTTTGCCGACCGTAACAAGACATGTATTAGTGCTTTAAAAAAGAAAAACAACTACGTCCGTATTCAAAGACTGATTCGTTCCAACTGAAACAGTAGATGAGCATATATAGACCAGGGCGAGTACGAGCTTATGATTAATACTCTCTTTTCGTTGTACGATTTTTTTTTACATTTCTTTAGTCCCCTTAATTAACTACTTATCATCTTTTATCCACTGGACATTGTTTTCACTTGATATCTCTTCACCGAATCCTCTTATATAAGATTAATGAACAGTCTGGAACGGATATTTACACGATTGTTGAATAAAAAATCTGACAGCTAGCTAACCAGTGACTAAAGTTGGATCTTTGGCCATTCTGAAAATTTCTTAAACTCCTGAAATAAGAATTTACTGTACCCTTTTGTTTCTATTTAAGTTACTGAAAAAGAAGACTGACAGGTCTAGTTCATTCTGTAACGAACTACAAAAGACTAGCAACACGTACACCACTATTGGAGAGACCAACATGATCAGTTTATTGAGGTGTACAAAACGTACTTATTACGCACCTTATAAAAACCAAGTAAAAATAATCAAGTAACAACTGTTGAGCCACTATTAAATGATCAAGACAGACACTAGGTCCTAAGCTACGAAATCGTACCTTTCTATAAGTGCTTCAGCTGATGATATATCTTCAAATTCGACCAAAGCTTGTTTTTTCTGAGGCATCATCGTTACGTCACGAATACGCCCATAAGGCTCAAATGCTTTGACGACATCAAATTCCACACTATGTCTTGGTAGACCACGGACATGGACAACTGGAGAAGGGTCAATCTCGCCCCAATCTTCTGGTCGACTTCGTTTACAACCTGAACTAGTGCCTTTATCAGACATGGTAACCGAGAGCTTGTAAATAGCGGCTAGAGACGCCCATACATGTGAATGAATAAAACACAGAGAATAATCAGTCTTTAGTAGTAAGGATAGATGGTTAATGTTAATATCGTCAGTTTGTCTTTTGATTAAGGCTCAGCTTCTTTCTGAAAATGTTCACTGATGGGGCTGATACCACTTATTCGGGTGCGGCGTTCCAGTCATTGACGACTAGTCGAGAAAAACGGAACTCCATTTTAAATTTATTAGATCGCGGTTTGTAAACCTTCTTGCTATGACCTCAGAGATCGCTAGTGCTGGAGGGAACAAAAAGATAAGACATAATAACACCCAAATTGTAATTAAAGATACGAATTGCTAATAGGTCACCTCGCTTCGTGCGATACGACAAAGTGAAAAGATCTAGGCTTTTTAAGCGCTTAGCATAAGGGAGATTAGAAATATCCTTTACTTATTTTGTTACCACACTCTGGACACGCTCAAGTGAGTTGGTATTCTTAATCAGATATGGATCAGTTGCTTGGATACAGTGCTGTAAGTGTGATCTTACATAGGTCGGATATAAAAGTCGAGGCATCTCGTCAAAGTATTTGAATGCTCAGCAAAGTGGTCGTATCGCACGAAACCCTTTGGTGGCTGTTGCGTTGCGATACGTAGTTGTTTTCAGGTCGTGAATTATTAGTATTCTTTAGTCTTTATCTTTTGGAACGTGCGGAAGAAATGTACCATCAATTGTATAATGGTAACTATGACCGTGTCCGATGATCATGAGCATACTCTCGTCACAATTAAGTTCCGAGCCCTAATATCGATTCCGTCTAACTAGTTTGTCTAGGTCAGCTTACTGTTGTCCAGATTTCGACATCATCCGTAAACAATAATCTCGACGACATATGCAGTGGTGGTAATTCGTTGACATGGAGGATGAAAAGTCGGGGACTCAAGATGGTGTTCTGGGGTATGCCACTTTTGACCGTCTTCCATTCGGGTAGCACTCCATTGACCCTAACTCTGTCTGTAGCCACATAAGAAGTTTCCTATCCATTCCTGCATAGCACCTGTTAATCCGAAGCTCTCGAGCTTAGGTATAAGATCTAAGTGTGAAACCGTGCTAAAGTCTGTGAATATCACATCAACAGACAAACCGTTATCTGGGGCTGCTGTTTAATCCTCTCTTGCAATAAGTACGTCAGTGAAGTATAAATGCTTGTTGCGAAACCCGTGTTGCTCGTGAGTTAACAGACTGTACGAACCTATGTGCCCTAGTAACTTAACCCGAATTATTTCTTCAAGTAACTTAACTTGACGGCCTGGTATTTTACGAGGTTTGAGGTTGGTGATGGACGGAAGAACAGTTTCCTCAGTCACACATACAGGTCCTATGTCTGGTACCTCGGTGTGATTGGTTCAAATATTTGTTACGACACATGTAGAGTAGATTTCACTGAAACAGTTTGATAAAGTCTCACCTTTTTATCTGATTAAGCTAATAAATCTGAATTTTCTTGTAATCTTAACGGGGGAAAGACCATCACTTAACTTATGAAAACAGTCGTTTAGGGCATGTACGGCTATCATATGCCGGCAGTATTTCGTAAATAATACGGTATGTAGTTATGGTCTTTCTACATATATTCCGGATTTTTCGGTATTCACACTTAAATGGTTTGTTTCCTGTTGTTATGTATAATTCCCGGAATTGTTTACTACGCTTCAACAACTTTCGGATCTTCATATTAATCCATGGAGGGCGATAAGAGAGACTGAGAATTGACCATGAGATAAACGGTGATGTTACGGACTCGAATGTAGCCTTTAACTGGTTCCATTTGCCTTCCATCGATCATTCCGTATCGACTGACCAGTCACTCGAGACAGCACAATCTCTGGTTGCCAGAATATTGGCTCTCCAGGTACTGGGACAGGGCGGAGCAGATATATATTTTTCACCGTGTACCCGAAACTTAAAATACAACGTGATCACTATTCGTTAGTGGGGTAGGTACTGATCCTAACTAAGACTGAAACATGGTATCTTGATGGCTCTCACACATTTTTAGCTTATGTAAAAAGAACTGAGCTTGAATAGAATCTTTTCAACTGTTTTAACAGTACCTATTTCTTTTATCTATTTCATAAATGATCTTTGATTGTTCAATTGGTCACGGAAAGTGATATCTGACTGGAAAGCGTTACGACTGAACTGTAAGGGAGTAAATCTCTGAGAACTTTTGAGTTTGTGCTTGGGACAATTATCTGGATATATGAACAATAAGAAGTGGGTTATTGGCAGTCCAACCAGCTCTTAGTAGTAATTATTTCGTTCCGACATCGAAATCTCTTGTTAATCGATTATGCTGTTCAAGTACGTGATCCTTTCCACCCCTTCCAGTGCTTTTTGTGTTGAAACTTACTACTCAATTGGGAATGCTGATGAAATCTGTTGCAGAGGCTACTTCCACACTGACTGTATTTGTTAGTGTGTGTGGAATATGGAAGCTAGGTCATCTGTGAAGTTCAGATCGTCTAGTTGCATCCGAACTGCCAATTGTACTCTGTACTCGTTGTTCTGGTTGTTAGAGTAGACATCGACTTCGTGACTTCCTCGACTTTCACCATGAGGCGTCATAATTCTTCTAAATGAAGATCTACTCACATTCATAGTTAAGTGCACACGGTCCAAGCCTGTTTTTCCAGTTGGCGTCCTTATCCCGAACACTCTTTCTTTATTCAAGCGTTTGGATCAGTGGTAACTGTAGGATTTGTTCGATAACTCACCCCGGGAAGGCTAAAGACAGAGCTGCTGGTTAGAATTTTCCTTCTTTATTTATTTGAATACAAAAATTGGTACAAAACGGCATCGAATGCATATGCGCCACATAAGTCACCTGATTTGTGTGTGGGCTGTGATACTACCCAAATCGAAGCAAATGGTTACCTTAGAGGGCCACACTCGGAGGCTTCGACCTCGATGTCAAATCCACAAGGCAGTGGAACGACGTGAGGAGATGCAGTCCCATGATAGCCAGTGACCAACGATAGGTCCATACGCCATCCGTTCCCTCACGATTCTGGGGCTCATTTGCACCACTGGTCTGGAATCAGTGTTTTCCAACTCCCCTAGGCGGATCCTCAATACCCACCACCAACCCGGTTAAAGCTCCGGACATTCACTTTTCACCCTTTGAATTTTGTAAACGATAGACTGCCACGAGAAGGTAGTGAGTAGGACTTTTCTGGCAGTGTCTGTACACGCGTGGCCATGTAAGAGCATTTCGAGAGACAGATATCTGACTCTTCTCATCCTTGACCATAGCAGGATATGCGAGGTCGCTGGTTATTGCAGCGTCCATGACAATAAACATACTTTTGGTATAATGTATCTAATCGGTGATAATACAAAGTTATAAGACAACTTCAGCAGAGATACTGATAAACTGGTAAATGTTGTGAAACCTTGATTGGTTTATGTATATGACAGGTACGTATGCCATGAAGGAGTAAGTGGTATATTGTATGCCAATTGAAGCAACGATTCTCAACCCAACTGTGATGGTGGTGAATCCATGTACTCAATGTGTAGTGGCAATTGGATTTTTGAATTCCATCACATTGTATTAGGATACAGTAGTGTGCCCAGATGAGATAAAATTTTGAAAAATGGGTTGTTGTCAGAATAATGTCCACGTCGGTATTGTTACGTCCAAGTTTTGCTCGTTCCTATTGAAGTACGGTATACCAATCTATTTGCAATGTACGAACCCAAATTAACAATGTAACCAAACCCCAATTTAGATATCAAAGTTTATTCGCAATTTACAAATAGTCGACCCAAATGTCGTTCTAACAACAATAATTATAATAATTACATAACAAACCTCCAATTTTGTGGGTTCCAGGGGCAAAAGCGCCCAAATACCAAACCAAAACGTCCGAAATTAATGATACAAACAAACAAGTCCAGAAGTTGAGTAAAACAAATACATCCCAAAACGCATTGAAACCAATAGTACTTAATATAAAGGTTTTAATCAGCCAAAAGTCTTCAGTTTTCCCGTAATAGTATCAGATGCTTTTATCCTTGCTGCCAGAAAGATAGACCGAATCGGCGAATTGTAGGTTTACCACGATTAGATTACATAGAAATCACATCATTTCCAATGTGGCTCGTCTTATAATAACAGGGAGAAATATGCTTTTAAGGAACTCTTACGAAAATATTTGGACTAGGGGTAGATCAATATGTTCATGGTGAAAAGTAAGAAGTTACGCACATTGACTACGCCTGCATGGTCGAGCCAGTCTTATTGCGTGTCCACGTGCTCACACTCTTTGAAACTTTCTCTCAGTATTAAGTGTTGAATGTAAATCTTTTCAGTTGTCATGTGTGTAGAATCCAAACTACGGTTTGGACTGTTGAGTAGCTTCTAAGGTAGATTAGACACGCGCCCTTGCCCGCCAAAATCAAAGCAAGTAATCGGGTAAATAGCGGTTCTATAATTCATCATAAATTTAAATGTAAATCGTTACCTAAACAAATAGTCTCACTCGGCTATTCAACCAATAATTGTTCAATAAATCTAAATTACAATAAATAAAGTTGATAAAAGATGTGGGAAAATTACCAGTCACAACAAATGAACGCTATTCTATTCTGACTGGATAGCTCACACACAAAAGAAGGAGCAAATCAATATGGCTACCGCCGGGAACAAGTGTCAAGTAAAACAACACTGATGCAGTTCGGGAAGAAACACAAAAACTTAGTGAAGGCGTAATAAAAATAAAAACCATGATAAAATACAAATGTTAACAATTCGAATGTAAGCAAGAAACTAACAATGTACAACTAAGGGGATCAATAGGAACAAAGTGCAAGTATATACATGGAGGGATTTTCACAAACACAAAACATTCAAAACGGATCTTACAATGTGTTCGGTCTCAAGGATACTATGGTTGAGAGCCAACAACACTACACGGTAAGAAATATCTGTCTA